GAGGGGGGCTTTGAGTAGGGAAGGGGAGCCTGAGCTGCCTGTGAGCTCCCAGAGGTGGGGCTGGGTCAGGGCATCAGAATTAGCAACGGAGGCCAGGTCACAAACCTGCTGACTCCATCAGATTCTGTGGCTGGGGGACTCGGGCGCTTCCCCAGAAGCTGCCCCTGCAGGGCTGCCCAGCTCTGAATTCCACCCTGGCCTCTGGAGCCTGGGGCAAGACCAGCTCCCCACCTGGAGGGCAGGGTGGTGATCCTGGTCTCAGCCCCAGCCCTCCTCCCACGTCATCAAGCCCAGGCTCCACCCTGCGACCTGACTGCGGGCGTGGGGCGGGGTCTCTGTCAATTTGAGAAAGAGGAGTCAGGTCACCCAGGATCTGCAGCCCTGCCAAGTCCCTGGGCCGGACACGAGGGAGGAGCCCACCTTCTGCGGGGCGAGGGCTGTGCTGCGAACCCCCAGGGGCAGGGGCAGGATCTCAGGCTCCACCAGCCCCGGCCTCCCGGCCTCGGTTTCCCCCGCTGTAAAGAGGGGCTGGGGCGGCGCTGGGAAAGCACCGGCCAGCGCATCTCACGGTGCCCTTGGATTAGCGGCGCCGCTGCCCACGTGGCCCTGGCTTGCCCCCGCCCCCCGCCCCCCGCCCCCCTCTCCCGCGCAGCCGGGGGCAGGGCCGGGTCGCCATCCCAAGCTGGTTAAAAACCCCGCGGTGTCAGAGAGCAGCTCTTTCCCAACCTCTGAAAGGCAGACAAGCCCTTTATTGCTCTATTATAACGTGCAGCCAGATGGTCTTTTGGGAGTTGCCCCCCCTCGCCCCCCACCCGAGGCCGCCCTCATTCATTCAGAGGCAACGCCCGGCACTAATGCCGCGGGGCTCAGGCACACTTCCACAGCCGCGGCGCAGCCTGGGAACCGCGGCCGCGCGCCCACCGCCCGCGCTGGGAGGCTGGGCCTGCAGGGCAGGACTGACGGCAAGCCCCCAGCCCCAGTTCTCAGAACCTGGACTCCCAGCGGGCCCTCCAGGCATCTCCCCACTGGGTGACCTTGACCCTGTCCTGCCTCAGTTTCCTCGTCCATGCGCTGGGAGGCTGGTAGTGCACCCCTAAGGTCTCAGAGGGTTACATCATTAATGTCAAGCGCTTACACAGGGGTAAGCGTCAGGCCCTCCACCGGGTTTGCCCCTTATGAGGAATGGTTTTTACACTTTCAAATCACTGAAGAAACATCCAAAGAAGAAAAATACTTTGTGATATGTGAAAATGAGAAGAAATTCAAATTTCAGCAACCATAAATAAAATGTCCTTGGAACACAGCCAGGCACATGCCTTCGATATTGCGGAGCACTGCTGCGAGGCGGAGTGGGCAGGCGGGCCAGAGACCGACGCAGACCCAAGCCTGCCTTCTGCAGGGCTCTTTGCAGAAAGTGCACCTGCCGCGGGAGGGCACCTGTGCGGGGTGGAAGCTCACGCTGTCGGCCGCGTCACCTGCTGTGTCTGCCACCAGGGGCCTGCTCACCTGGCCCAAGCTGAGTTCTGTCGTGCCTATAGTACAGGCGAGCAAATTGAGGCCCAGTTTGTATCCAAGGCCAAGCTGCCAGTTGGCTGAAGCCAGACTGGACCCTGGCAGCTTCCCCTCCCCGAGAAAGGACCCCACTGGGTCCCTAGCCCGGACCCTACTTGGTTCACTCAGCCCCGTCAACCACTGGCGCTTCCTCCAGGGGGCTGGGGGGCCTTGCCCTTCACACCCCCTGGGCAGGGCCATGCTGCTGGAGCAAGTGTTGCACTCTGCACCCGGGGAAGACCTGTTTTGTGCTAAAAGCACACTTCCCCTGTTCAGTTCACCACCACACAACCTGCCCCTATCGCTGGCACCTTCCTCCAGCTGGACTTCCTTTGCCCCTTTTGACTGTTGAGGGGTTGGCCAGCGGATCTTTAAGGAGCTCCCCTGCCGCGTGGTCAGGCGACTGGGGGCTCCCAAAACAAGCATAGGGGTGGGCGTACCCTGCTTTTTGGAGGGGTGGGAAATACAGACCAACAGCACAGAGGCTGAAGGCTTAGGGGGATGGCAACGAGCGCATGGGAGCAGGAGAGGACAGAGCACCTGTGGAACGCCGGGGTTGGGGGACAGAGGGGACCTGGGAGGGGAAAGCTGCTTCTCTCTGCAGCACTGGACTGACGACTGACCAGAAGGCTCCCCGTTTGGGCACCCCCAGTGCCCGGAGGGTCACAAACGTGGGACTCAGGTTCCATGTCCCCATGGTCACTCCTCCCAGATCCCTGAGCCCCAAGCTGCTCCACAGCCCCCACAGGACCCCTGCCCCGACGCCAAACAAGGAACTTCACCAGCATTTCCTTTGGTGCCCACTGGGGCTCTCCCTGACGGGCAGCCAGGGGTGTGGGGCTTATAGCCCAGCGTGGTGGCCCCCCAGGGAGGCTCAGCCCTGGCCAGCAGGGGGCACCCACCCACAGCCCGGGGCACACCCACTGCTCCCATGGCCACCCAGCCAGGGGTGGGGCATAGGCGAAGGCATGTGAGGCCGAGTCTATCCTGGCATCCGGTGGTCTCAAGCATACGGGACAAGGCAAGGTCAAGGTTGCTCATGCCATCCTGGCAACAATGACCACTTTAAGTGGCTGCCATGTGCCAGGGTGAGTGCCCAGAGCCTGGCTGTGGGGTGGGCTCAGCGAACGGCAAAGAGATGGGGCAGGCACTGGGTGGAGGCACAGGCCCTGGAGCAGGTCCCTCCTACCCTGGTTGCCCCCCAAGTCTGGCAGGGACCTCACCTTCAGTCTCCTGCTCCCAGCCCCCAGGACTGAGGTGCCTGCCCTGTGAGGCAACCCCCATCTGCTGGGGAGCCCACTCCAGTGAGGGCAGCCATGCCAGTGGCCCCCACTCTGTTTGCTTGTGGACCGAGGGGAGGACTTGGACTCAGCTGTTCCAGCCCTGTGGGCCCCGTCATTCTGGTCCCCTCGGGAAGGCCCAGGAGCACAGGGCACAGAAGCTGTGGGGCTCTTTCCAGGCAGCCGCCAGCAGCCCTGCCAGCCTCCAGCCATGAAGAGTTTGGGTGGGAGGCCGGCTCAGAGGGGCTCCCCCCAATACCCCCACCCCTCGACATTTATCCTGCACAAAAGGCGCGTGCCCGGAGACAAACTTATTCCCATGGGGCCGCCCAGCTTTGTGTGCGGGGCTGCGGCCTAGCGGCCATCTGGGGAGCAGTTAACCCAGCGGGGCGGGGCTCCCCAGGCTGCCTTTGATGACTGGAGAGGCAGGGGCCCCAAGCGACGCCTGGAGGGGGCACATCTGGCCTGGCCAGCGCCTCCCCATTTCCACAGTCCCTGGGTGCAGCAATAGGCATGATAAGGGGACAAAGGGGGTCACTTGTCTCCCTGCCCCCACCCTCCTGGTTGCTACTTGCTGGGCGCTCCTGCACGAGGCAGTGTAGCCTGGCGGGTAGGGCTGAGGGCTCAGGGTTAGGACCCAGACTCTGCCACTTAGCTGGGCTCTCTGGGCCTCAGTTTCTTCATCTGTGAAATGGGCTAACAGCAGCCCACCACAGGCACAGGCTGAGGACAAGGGAGTGAATAAAGGCAGAGTGTTGAGGTGGCCCCGGATCACAGCTGCTGCTATTAACCTCACTATCATCACATCATCAAGGGTCCCCAGCCCTGGGCTCGCCAGGCCTTTGCCTCTGTCCATCTCGCTTCATTCTGTGGGTGACCCCTACCTGTGTTCTGGGCCACCTGAGAGCTGACCAGTGTGGCAAGGAAAGGCTGGGGTTCTGGGGCCACAGTGAACCCAGGACGGTGTGACAGCAGGCAGGCAGCCAGGCCTGGGTCTGTCCCTAATCTGCAAGGCTGATATGGTCCTGCCAGCTCTCAGGATTCTGGTCTCAGACAGAATGTCTGTCCCGCTTAGCCTGCATGCAGTAGGTGCTAACGTGGTGCACAGTTCCCTCTCCCATCCCATCCAGGCCCCCTGAGCATCCCCAAGTCTGGCCTCAGTCCTGGGCCTGACCCCAGTGGACCCAGCCGTGGGTATGGCCGCACAAGTGCCAAGCACCCTTCTGCCAGCTGCCCCCAGAGGGCTAGAGGTCTGGACAGTTAGGAGGGGTACACTGGGTGGGGCTCCCTGCAGGTTCTGCCTGGCACGGCAGGCAGGCAGTTCTGAGTCTGGGCAGCTGGACTGGTGGGGGGCAGCGGGCAGGGGCTCTGAGGGTCTCTCCGCTCAGGGAACCCTTCCTGGCTGAGGGACTCCTGGGGCCAGGGCTTGGCAGACAGGGCCTATGTGGGGCCCCCCTCCCCGCCCTGCTGAGGGGGATGTCCTTGAGAGGGTGCCCCGCAGGCCCCAAGATAATCCCTGTGAGAGGCCCTGTGAGAGACTGCCCGCGGGCTTTCCCACGGCCTCACATAAAGGGCCGCCGCCAGCTGCTCTCCCACAAAAGGCTCCCGCCATTCAGTGCCTGGAGGTGGGCGGGGCGAGCGGAGGCACAGAGGAGGCCTACCTGGCCACCCCCAAGCCCGGCCCGCGTCCACAGGAGAAGCACTGCGCCTGGCCACTGACCATCAGGGCCGGTGGTCCCCAGGGCTGGGACGCGGGAGCAGTTTCAAGCAGCCACCCAGGCTGCCGCCGGCCCGCTCCCCCTGCTCTGCCTGGGGCTGGCACAGCTCCCGGGCGCCTGGCTGAAGGGCTGCTCAGGGGGACCCTTCACAGCCCCACTGCACTGCTGGGCATGGGGCCAACCCTGAGCCCACTTCCCCTCCTCGCCACCACACACCCTGGCCCCACCGCACCCACTGGCTCACTTCCTGCTCCCAAGACTGTGCTCTGATTTACTTCCATGCCCTTACCTTCCCCCATCCTGGCACACAGTGCAGGTGACAGGAGGGGACAGGGCTGGGCAAGGCCTCCGCCCCGGACTCCAGCCTCCTCATCTGAGATGTGGGACAGCCCTACTTCCCTGGGCTAGTGGACAGCCGTTTAAAAATATCATCTCCTGGGCGCCCAGGCTTGGGGGCTGTGGGGTCCCTGCCCCTGGGAATCAACTGCCCAGAGTGCTTCTGAGGATGCCTTTACAGAAAAGGACCATCCCAGGGCAGGGAGAGGTAGGCTGGAGGGCTTCCTGGGGAGGTGGCAGCTGAAGCCTGGCCTTTCAGAAAGCCTGGGGAAAGGTGGGCTCACGCAGGGCCAGGGGCCCAGCCAGGCAGGGGCGCTGAGGGCTCCCCTGATGCCACATCTCCATACTGCTTCCACAGCCCAGGCTGCCCCTGCGGCCACCGAGTCACTATAGCGACACAGCTGCCACCCAGTGAGCCTGGCCAGGCCCAGCAGGTGCCCCAGCTGGAGAGCTCTTCGTCTGGTGGGAGGACCAATCAGGCGGGAGGAGTTGGAGAGACCCGGGGGAGATATAAAGCATGGCTCCGGACAGCGGGCGGTGGGCAGAGGGTGGCCAGTGGGGATGCCTGCCCTGTGCCTGGAGGGCAGGAAGGTGGGGTCGGGGAAGGAGCTGCCCTGGACCACGGGGGTGGGGAGCGGATGGTCGGCTCCCCTGGCGTCTGCACCCGGGAAAGGGGCCAGACCACTGGGGGCCCCGCTGCGTGGGTTTGAGGGCAGGCTCACCGCAGGGCCGTCCCAGCTACGGCCTCACACGTTCCTCGCCACCTGGGCTCACATCCCCGCCGGCTGGGGGCGGGGTGCGTCCTTATCCCAGCCCAGCGCAGGGGATCCTGGGCTTTGTCCAGCCCTGGCAGCCTATTGGCGGCTGAGCGTGGGAAAAAGCGTGCTCGCCCGCGGGCCCCATAGACCTGCGACGCATAAAAGCGCCCCCACCATCCGGCTGCCTTCACCGCCTTTAGCCACCCTCCCCAGCCGTGCGCTCCCGCCGCGCCGCCCTGGCCTGGGGGCACAGACACCCGAAGTGATGACTGATTCGGAGCGGCGCCGTCTCAGGGCGCACCGGGGATCCGGCAGGGTCCCAAGGACTTTGCTCCCCAACTCTCTGCTCTCCTTGGATGAGAAATTCGCGGGCGCCAGCGCAGCTCCGAGCAGGGGCAGGGTCGTCGTGGAGACAGAGGTGGCTGACATCCCCGGTAGGCGCCGCTCAGGCAGGAAGGGGGTGTCACCTGGGGGAGGGCAGGGCGGGTGCCACGTGGACCCCCCGCTTCCGCGGCCCGCTCACCCGGTGGGCTCACTCTTCGCAGCCCCCAGCCGCACCGTGAGCGCCAAGGACGGACTCCGGCAAGGCGTGGCGTGCGCCTCCGCGGAACCTTGTGGCCCTCCCGGAACCAGGCCTCCTGTCCTCCACCCAGGCAGGTGGAGCCGAAGAGACTCCTGCCGTGCTGGGGAAAAGTGCGCCCGCGCAGCGCCCTCGCACAAAGGCGGGGGTCGGGGGCCTGATGGAGACTTTGCCAGGCCCTGGGCCCCAAAGGTGAGGGCTGGGCTGGCGGGCGCAGCCCTGCTCCTGCTGCAGAAGGAACCTGACTTTTGCTCCCCTCTTTCCCGCCCAAGCCGGGGCCCAGAGTCAGACGCGGCAGTCCAGTCCGCAGGTCTTGCCCTGAAGGAGGGGTCCTGCGGCAGAGGCTTTGTGTGTGACAGAGGCTGTAGACAGCCAGGCTTGTGCACCGAGAGGCAGCTGGGACAGTGTGGCTGGACAGGTGTGCCAGGCCTGGGTGCCTGGTCCCGGATGGGGCACAGCTGGGTCTCTGCTTCTTCCAGGAAGGGAAAGGCTGGGTGCTTTATGTTAGAGTTGGGGGGGGGGGAGGGAGTGTTGTGCCCAAGGGCTGGCCCCCTAGTGGACATGGGGCAGAGGCTGTGGTGGTCCTGTGGGATGCCAGTGAATGCACTGGGCAGTGTGGACGTGCAGGTGTCTCAGAGCTGGGCCACTAACAGAGCTTGAATAAAGGTGCTGGTCTGCAGCCTCTGCCTGGGTCTCTGCTCTGTCCCCCAAAGCTGACTGATTCAAGGCCTCTGCCCAGGGCATGGAGATCCGGGGACCTTGGAGTGGGGCACTGTGCCAAGGACAATCCTGGGCTGGACCCCTGCCTGGCTGGTCTCTTCCCTGGAACTGTGGTCAAGGCCCGGTCTACAGCCCTGACCCCCAGTGACAGGGTAGACCCTCAGGATGCCCCAAGCCAGAGACAGCCCCTTCTCTCCTTGGCCACTGGGGGAGCCTCCCATTTACCGCAGGCCCCTGTGGGCCCGGCAGTGTGCTGTCCACTCATATCGGGTTCTGAAGTTGCCTTGTCAACAGCCTGGAGGTGGGAGCCTCATTGCCCCCATGTTACAGATGAGCAAACCGAGCCCCTGCAGACCCGGACCGGAGGGGAGGGCATGGGGAGTCAGGTGCGGGCTGGTGCTCCCTGCAGTGGGTGCTGGCTCCTGCCCCAGTGTGGCCACCCCCCCCACACACACTGGGCAGAGCCAGGGTTGTGCCTCCCCAGAATAGGTCCTAGTCCCCCAAGTCTCAACCCCCACTACTCCCAGAAATGCTGTCTTCTCTCTTGCCGCAGGCCAGGGTCCAGCCCAGGGTCTTCCACTGAGCCACACCCAGGCGGAGGGCTCCTGCCCTGTACCCAGCCTGGGGGCAATCTCAACGGCCCTGCACTCACTCTGCAGGTCCCTCAGAGCTGCCCCACCGCATGTCTTGCTGCCTGTCCGTGGGGAAGCCTGGCCCCAGGGCCTCAGCAGCTCCCAGGAGAGGGAGGAGCTGGGAGGCCTCCCCCTAGCGGGGGCAGAAGGAGGGGCAAAGTGATGCGGACCCGGGAATGCCCGGACCTGGGCGGGTCTGCAGGCAGGTTCCTGGAGATGGGGAGAGGCGATGCTGAGAGTCAGACAGGAAAGTGCCCTTTGGGGAAGTCCTGGCCCCACGAGGCAGGCTTGTGGCCGACCTTGTGAAGAGAGGCCCAGACAGGGCCTGGGTCAGTGGCGGGTCAGTAGCCATAGCGCCCGTGGCCACCTGTTAATGCCCTGCTGTTTGAGCACTGTCATGGGGTTTCTAGTTGCCCCCCTATTTGCACGTCGCTCCTCTGTGGGAGGGGACAGCCTGGACACCAAACCCGTGTCCCATCTCCCAGCATGTGATCGGTGCTTAATAAATGTGGGCTCAACAGAGCAAGGCTTCCTGGAGCCCCTGGGAGCCTGGACGCAGGGTGAGGACCCTGGCCCGGGGTCTCCTGCATCCCCCTCCCAGTCGGCCCTCTGCGGGCACAGGCCCGTTGCGCCCAGCCCAGGGTGGGGCTGGGACTGGGACTGTGAACCCCGCCCTTTGCTCAGGGTCAAATAGGTGGTTAGTGGAGCCCCGTCTCTTCAGGTTGCTGCCCAGCCGACATTTACCTCCATCTGCTCAAGGCTTTCCTTGTCAAAGTACGTCCAGCGACCTGTTGAAGCAAGAGAAAAACAACAAGTGGTGTGAACCTTATTCATGATGACGATTCAGGGGGAAAACATGACGAGCAGCGAAATGTGATGAGGAAGGAAAACAGGACGCAAGCGGCAGTTGCTCCTTGGCAGTTTCCTGCTCCCGGGAGCACCGCGCGGGCCAGACGCACCCCAGGACCCCGCGGCTGCCTTCACATCCTGTCCCAGGGCGAAATGTCAACTCAGAGGGCATCTCATTGCATTTTTAATTTTTGTAGCTGAACTTTTTATTTTGAGAGAATTCACAGGGAACTCTAAGAATACAGAAGACCCTGTGTCTCCTTCACCAAGTTCTGTCTGTTTGCACCACACTGCGTGTCCACAGCACAAGGTGTGCAGGGAGATTGATGCTGGTGAAAGAGGGGGAACATCCCACTTCCAGGACGGTGCCTCTTATTTCTTTTTTTATATATATATTTTTCTTGATCATGATGAGATATATGTAAGATTTAAATCTTAGCCATTTTTAAGTGCACAGCTCAGGGACCTTAAGCACGTCCCCATATTGTGCAGCCATCTCCATCATCCGTCTCGAGAATATTCTCATGATTCCAGTAGAAACTCTTTCCCCGTTAAGCACCATCCCTGCCTCCCTCCCCAGCCCTGGTAACCTCTGCCTTACCTACTGTCTCTATGAATTACCCGAGGCCCCATGCAAGTAGAATCACCCATTTGTCCTTCTGTGACTGGCTGGGTCCCTGAGCGCAGAGCACGGAGTGGTGGGATTCCTTCCATGAGGGAGCGACACTTGTCTGCTCAGGCCATGTTGTGTTAATTGTTCCTCTGCTGATGGATACCTGCTCTTTCTGCCACTTGGCCACAGTGAGACGTGCTGTAGGTGGGGTGTGCAAGCTCAGAGTGGTCCCAGGGGGTGAGGAGTGGCCCTGACTCATCTCTGAACCCACAGTTGGGGACAGAGGGGGGCATTGGGAGGAGGGTGCTGCTGTGACGGCGGGCAGTGGGGTATGCAGCAGGCAGGAGCTGCCCCACTGCCTGGCAGAGCTCCTTGCTGGGGAAGACATGGGGCCCTTTGGCTGGCCCTTACCAGCAAGGAGTGTTCATACATCTCTCGATCAGCTTTTTTCTCATAAAAGTGAAATATGCAGTTATGAAAAAACACACACAATGCAGAAGAGAATAAAGTAGAAAGCGGAAGCTCGTTGTTGATGAGGGCCCTTCCCAAGCAGCCCTCAGGGGGACTGCTTATGGTACCTTAGGACCCCGGAGACAGACACACAGATGTGACTTTTTAATACTTAAGTTTTTTTATTTTCTTTTTCTCTTTTAGACACAATTTTTTAATTGCACATCCTAGGCTAAGCGTCCCTGCTGCTTGCCAGGTCTCTTACCTCCCTGCCCTGTCCCGGTGGCCGGGCTGTGTGCATGTGCCTCTGCGTAGGTGTCTGGGACTCTTGGCAAATCACCCTATGGAAGCTGTCTCCCTGAGTTAACATTTGCGTTTGAAGGGGTGCCTTGTCCCTCTTGTACTACCCAAGGGACCCAGTGTGTCCATCACTGTCCCATGTCAGACTGCAGGGCATGCCTGCCTTCCATGAGTAGGGGTGGTGGCCCCCCCCAGTGAAAGAACTCTGTGAGAGGTGGTGGTGGGACCACTACGGGACTTGGGGGTGTGCTGGCAAGTCAGGTGGTACTCTGGCTGAGCGGCGGGCCCATGACCTCACGGGGGTTTGATTCACCTGGAGACCAGCAGGGCTGGCTGCAGGCTGGGCCGGGGACATCAGGCAGCTGCCTTCCACCTCATGTTTGCCCAGGGGATTCATTCTGAGTGCCTGCTCGGTGCCGGGTGCTGGGGACGCAGCAGTGAGAGGAGAGAAAGGTCCCTGCCCTGGCGAACCCATTCTGGTTGGAGACTGCCCAGAATTCTGTCCCCCAGAGTCATGTGCTGAAGCCCTGAGCCCCAGTGTGACTGCATTCAGAGAAGGGGCTTCCAGAAGGTAATTACGGTTACATGAGGGCATAGGGCGGGGCCCTGATGCCATGGGACTGGTGTCTGTGACAGGAAGGGACACCAGAGCACACCCTCTCCCTGTGTGCTCCCAGAGGAAAGGCCATGTGAGGACATGGAGAGGTGGTGGCCATCCACATGCCAAGAGGGGAGGCCTCCGGAGAACCAAGCTGCCCTCACAGTGCCCCTGGACTTCCAGCCTGTAGAGCATGAGAAAGAAACCCCCCAGCCTGTGCTACTGTGTTATGGATGCCCAAGCTGACTAAGCTGCGGGCACAGACAAGGCAAGGAGGCAAGCAGGTGCATACCTGCACACGCCCGCACAGCCTGCACACTCCTGCGCATGCCCCACAGCCTGCACACTCCCACACACCTGCACACTACTGCACATGCCCGCACACACCGCATACACCTGCACATGCCCCACTACCTGCACACTCCTACACACACCTGCATGCTCCCGCACATGGCTGCACAGCCTGTACATGCACAGCATTCTCTTGGAGGGGGCCACAAGGCCTGGGAGAGTGAGGCAGGGCTGGGCTGGGTGGCCGGGGGCTGCTTCCAGGGACTTGGGCTTGGCTGGACCTTGTGGAGGGTGGTGGAGGAGGGAGCCAGCTGGGGTGCTGGGGCAGGCGCGAGCTGAGCACCATGGGGGCGGCCTCAGAGAGGCTTTTCCCACGGTTGGCCAGGCCTTCCCAGTTGCTCAGGGCTGGAGAGACATTTCCTGGACTCATCACGGTGGCCACACCTGCAGCTGTGGGGCAGGTGTCTGCTGGGCGCAGACCGATCCCAGGGACAGTGGGTACGAGGCAGCTTGTCCGTTCTCACTTAGGAGAACACTGCCTCCCTGGAGGCGGCTCCCGTGAACCAGGCACATGCGGGAAGTGTGCACTGGCTGAGTTCAGGCCGATGCTGCATGCAGTTAAGGCCCCAGTTTTCTGATGGAGAACACCCCCACTGAATCATAGGGTCCCCAGTGAACTCTCTTGGGGACCGAATTATGTCCCTGTTTCCCACCACCGTAACTGTTGGGAGATGAAGCCTATAAGGAGGTGATTCAGGTTAAATGAAGTCATGGCTGGTGCCCGACCCCAGAGGACTGTTGGGGTTTCCAAGGGCCCTTGACCCTGCAGAACACCCCTTTCTGGAAAAGTGCCTACCAGTGAGTCTCTGCAGCCAGGCACATCCTTGGCCTGTTCAGCTGTCATTCCCAGGACTCCACACTCACCTTCCCTTCCTCCTGGCCAATGGTCCCCAGGCCGTGCTCCCATCCTGGAGGCCTGAGGCCCCGGCGCTCCCAGAGGCTTCCGTGTTGCGCCAATCCGTGTGTTTTTCTTGGGTGCCAGTCCCACCCTGAGGCCAGAATCACCTACTTATGTACTGAGCTGGGGTGGGGGGAGCTCTGTGCCCTCATTGGGCTTCTGGAACTCTCCTGGACCTGAACCAGGGGGCAGTGTGGAGTGGGACTAAGGTCCGCACGTCTGGTCCATGACCATTTGCTCCCCCTGGGGATGTGACCTCCCTGGCCTGCCCCAGCTCTGTGCCTTGGTTTCTTTGTTGTACTTATTGCCGAGGCCTGGAGAGCCGCTGCGAGGAGCGTCCAGGGAGGGGAATGGGATAGAAAGGAGTTGGAATAACCAGCCATCCAAAGTGGGATGGGGCGGGTCGCAGTGGCAGTGAGGGCGGTGGGGAGACTGTGGGGGAGAACAGAGGCCTGGGGAGGGGCATGGTTCAATAGACAGCCTGAAAGGGACCCCAAACTGCTGCCCAGGCAGGGCGACAGGAGCAGCAGGGAGGGTGGGGTGCCAAGGGGCTGTGCGTGCCTGCAAGAGGTGGGTGCAGGAACGTCTGAGGGTCTCCCCAAGCCCTGAAGCAGTCTGCATGTAGGGTAAGGTGAGGCATGGAGCACAAGTGTGTCCCAGGGGCCTGGGATTTGGGATGTAGGGGGTGAGGACAGACCCGAGGCAGGGGGTGGGGGTGTTGCCGGTGAAGAGCGGGGGAGTGGCGGTGGGGCATGTGAGGCAGGGCGCCAGGGGCAGGCCTGGCGAGCACCTGACAACCTGTTCTGGAGCTTGGGAGGAGATGGGGGTTTGGGTTGGACGCGGGACCTGGCGTCCCCTGTTGGGCCAGGAGCAGGCTTGGATCTGTGCAGGCCCCTTGGCCTCGGGGAAGGCCCACTGCCCAGGCTCGCTCGACCCCCCCTGCCCCTGCCCCTGCCCTCAGCCCCACTTCTCTCTCTCCGTCCCCAGGCTTGTGGCCAAGGAGCCCCGTCCTCCCCTTTCCGGCCCCACCAAGCTGCGGACTGTCCTGAGGCTTCCCACGCTTGGCCATTGCTGGTATCCCCTCCTTCTGCATCCTCCCTCCCCGCAGCCTGACCCCCGCCTTCCCACCTAGGGGACCCCCAGAGCCTTCTCATCAAGCTCCAGTCTACCATCCTTGCCAGCCTGACAACTGTACAAAGTCTTGGGTGCAGGACACACCTGGTGTCCCCAGCACCCCTCCAGAAGCAGGCCCAGGGTGGCAAGCATCCCACTCCCTGCACACCCCAGCAGGAGTGACCCAGGTTTACCAGCCACACTGCTCAACCCATGTACTTTCTCATAGAGTGGCCTTTCCCACCTTGTCCCCCAACCGGGCTCCTATTTATTCCTCAGAGCCCCACCTGGCATCTGCTGTCCACTCAACAGAATCTCACCATAGGACTCCAGTACTGGCGTTTAGACGTGGCTCTCTCCCTAGACCCCGGGCCCCAGGAGGGCAAAGCCCACTGCCCAGCCCCAGGCTCGCGCAGAGCAGGGGCAGCTAAAGCTGGCCGGAATGCGGGGCGGGGGGCCTCCGGCGTGGTGCCTCCCAACCCCCATGGGTCAGTCGGGAGCACTGTGGTTCCCCCCACCCCTCTCCCACCCTCGTGACCCCAGAAATCTCCCTTAAGAAGAAAAGGGAAATGTGATCAGGGGATTCCCAGAGACTCCATCTGGTGGTGTCTTGACCAGGAGGTCTGGGTGAGGGGTGCAGGGGGGTGCAGACCCTGGGGAGAGGATCTTGGTCAGGACAGCAGGCTTGGTGGGGCCTGGAGTCTGGGCCAGCCCTGCTGTCCTGGGGCTCCTCCAGCTGTGGCAGAGAGCCCTGCCTCCATGTAAAGGTCTGTGACCCTGACCCAGGGCCGCCTCAGTTCCCCCAACTGCACTGGGGCAAGGGGCAAGCACAGAATACCCTCTAAAGCCCCTGCCTGGCCCTCCCCTAGGCCCTGAGGGTGCGGGCACTAGGAGGGCCTCATAGACCTCTGGTCACAGGCCCTGGCAACACTGGGGAAGGGAAGGGAGTCCCTGGGGTCCCAGTCACAGGGGACACTGGAAGGAGAGGCCATAGATGGGGGCTCCACCTTCACCCAAGTCAGTCAGGGTGCAGAAGCCCCATGGAGTCTCAGACATGGATGGGGCTTCCCGGAGGCACACCCCCATCCTGCCCCCCCTGCTGATCCTGGGGGCTCTGGGCTGAAGCAGAGAGCTTGACACCCACAGGTGACAGCCAGTGGCTGGGCCATCAGGTCGGTGGGGAAGTTCCAGCTGCGGCCTCCTGCTGCAGGTGCCCCGAACCAGGCCTGTTGTCACATAGCTGGTGTTGAATGAGTGGGTGGGTGGAAGCTGGTGATGAGTGAGTGAGTGGGCGGGTGGGTGGGTGGGTGGGTGGATGGCTGGTGCTGAGATTTGGAGCCCCCTGTCTTCCTGCTCCAACATGCAAAACCCCCTGCTGCCAGGGTTTATGTTACAGAAGTGAGGGGACAGAAACCAGTGAGACAGGGTCCCTGGGGGAGGGGAGGGAGTGGCATGACCACTACGTGTGGCATCAGAGAGAGCCTCCTGGCAGAGGCAGCCTTGGCAAGGAGCTGGCGCAGACGCAAGCTGGGCCATCCCTCACTCCCTGGAGGCTGGGCACAGGACTGGACACCCCCGTCCTGAGGGGCAAGCAGGACTTGGGAGATCAGTGGTGGTGTGGAGGCGTGGCAGGAAACAGCAGGTATCCTGGTGCCCTCAGACCCTGACCTTGGCCCCTGAGTGGCACCTGTGCACTGCTGGGGTTTCTAGAGCATTCTAGAACACTCCTCAGGGCTCCACAGGGCAGAGCAGAGTGTGGAGAGGGGGTGCCGCTTCACTGGAAAACCTGGCAGCCAACAGGCAGTGGGCTGTGAGTGTATCTCTCACAGAGGGTAGGGGCTTCTCCAACAGGCCTTGGGGTGGGGACAGGAGTTACAGGTGGGTGTCCACGGGGCTTCTGAGCCCCTGGGTCCCCCGTGACCCCGACCCTGCCTTGCAGCACTGAGGTCAGGGAGCTGGGCTGGTCACCTGGAGGATGGTGGCCAGAGGGGACCCTGCATCTCAGCACTGGGAAGCTTAGGCTGGAGAAGACGTGGGCCAGCCTCCACCCCATCCGGTCCCCTCCCCGAAACCCCTAATGGGAAGTGGCCGGGCCTGGTGAGCTGGACACACTCAGCAGGTTGTGATGGGTCTGATGAGAGGGGAGCCACACTTAACTGATTTTGCAACTTTACAGAAGAAGTCCGGGGGTGGTGTGCCCATCACATGAGCTTGGGCTTCAATGTGATGTGGAAGCCAGGGGATAATGGGAACTGACTCCCCAGCCACTTGCCAATCTGGGGCCCAGGGGTGGGCAGGCTAACTTACATGTGCCCCGAAGCCTGCCTCTTAGGGCCCAGGTATGTGGCGGTCCTACAGCAGCTCTGGGGGTGGCAGGGGTGCTGGGAAGCCTGGGTGGGAGAGCGCCCTCTGGACAGGAAGATGGGGTCTGGCCGAACAGAGACCCAGGACAGGGCCTGTCTTCCTGGGCCCCCGTTTCCCCATCTGAGAAATGGGTGCAAGGACCACCCAGCCCCGCCCTGGGACAGGTGCGGGTGTGGGTGCCCTTGGAACCCCTCTGGGTGCTCAGGGAAGGCACACGTGCCTCTCACTCAGCCCTATGGGGCCTCAGGGGCCTCCCCGCCTCTGCGGTCTGGACAGTCACTTTCTGCAGAGCCGTGTGCTTGGGAATGTTTGGAGGGGACAGTCACCCCGTTTGAGTAGAAGCTGAGACAGGCGATGGAACCTGGGGGGCTCCCACTGTGGCCTCAGCATTGGAAGTGTAAACGCTTTGGGTGCAGCCCCACCACGGGAAACCCAGGGGGCTGAGGGTGAGGAGAGCGGCCTGGAGGCCTGCTTGGCCAGACTTGGGGCTCGAGCACCAAGGCGAGGGGCAGTCCTTGGGCTATGCCTGCGCCTCCCCCGCTGCACAGCTGCCCCCTGACTGCCTGACCTGACACTGGCTGGACCCGCGCTGCCCGTGCCCACAGCCTGCTCCCTCCAGCCTGACAGTTGCCCCAAAAACAAGCCTTAGGGGAGGAGCTGAAATACTTCCTGGCCTCAGATAACTGCCTGGAAACGCAGTTTCTCTTTTTCTTTCACCTCTCACACTGAATCATTTCCTGGTTAAGTGCTGAAGATGGTCCTGCTCGCAGCTGCAGCGGGGCTGGGACACCTGGGGCCGAGCAATGAGGGGAGCTGAGGAGGGCCATGCGGCCTCTGAGAGGCGGGGCCTGCCCCACAGGAGCCTGGGGCCTGTACCTGGTGAGTCCCCGAGTCTCTGTGCATGCCCCTCCCCGGTCCTGGGGCCCCACAGATGTCCCTCCGTACTGTCCTGTCCCAGGCCATGTCCTGCCCTGCTTACATGGACCTTTGTTCCCCACTGCATGGCACTCTTGGGCAGACCCAGCCCCTTGGCATCCAGCCCCCAACACTGGGCATGGTGGGCAGACAGGCAGGAAAGCCATGCCCACCACCAGCAGAAGCCCCCCTCCGTGGGTCCAGGCCCCACCGCCCGTTCAGGCAGCAGGGAGCCCCCTACTGCCTGGCTGCTCTTGCGAAGGTGGTGCGGGCTTGTGCCTTGTGCCAGGGGTGGGGGTGTGGGGGCTGGTCACCACATCCACGGCTCTGTCCTGGGTGATAAGCTCCTGTTTGAGCAGGCGGGTGGAGTCCACAGCCGGGCCGGTGGGGAGAGCCTCCTCGCCAGTGTGGCCACGAGCCCAGGCACTTTCTCCCCATGCAGACCGCTGACCACCAGGCAGAGTCGGCCTACACCCACGTCCCTGAAACAGCCTCCCTCACCCCTTCCTCCCCTGGGTACTGAGCAGCCTATCTCCCGGCCACGCCTGTGAGCCCTCAGGGCCAGGCCTGCTCTGACCCTGCCAGGTCCCCAGGGCCCAGGTGCACGGGAGGGCCTGCAGGTTATCAGGCCCGGAGAAGCTCAGAGCTTCCCAGGGATGGGCGTCCCACACTTCCAGGCAGGGGACAGAGGCCAGAGGGCGACAGTCCCTAACCAGACTGGGGTCTTCCTGGCCAAGCCCCAGAGCTGTCCTGGGAGCCACGTCACCCCTCCAGGGCACTGCCAACTGAAGGGGCGGCTGCTGCCCCACGTCACAGCAGCTACTGAGGCCGATGCCTACCCTGTCCCCTCCAGGCCGCCTACCTCCGCCTCCTGAGGCGCCCTTGCTGCATCCTGGCCTCACCCCCTGCAAGGAGGAGGAGTACCCAGTGGGGGCCGAGTGCTGCCCCAAGTGCAGCCCAGGTAGGCCCGGGCTTTGAGTGGGCATGATGGCAGAGCCAGGCCCGGGTGCCAGGGCCCCTTGTTCTCCCAGGACGTTCCGACCCTAGGGCAGGCTCGCTGGTGGGAGGCGGCAGAGTGAGACGCGAGGCGGAGGCCCCAGCCCAGGTGCCCTCGGGAACCTGTGGGTGACGTCTCCCTGTGGGGGCTTCTAGGGGCAGTGACAGCAGCTGCCCAGGCCTCCCCAGCCCACGCTGTGGCCCCCTGGCTGCAGGTTACCGGGTGAAGCAGGACTGTGGGGAGCTGACAGGCACTCTGTGTGTCCCCTGCACCACAACGACATACACAGCCCACTTCAGCGGCCTGAGCGAGTGTCTGCCCTGCCGAGAATGTGACCCAGGTGAGAGCGCCGAGCCCGCCCCCACCCCCGCTCTGCCCTGTGTTCCCCGGCCCAGTGCCTCTATCTCCAGGGCCCCCTGCAGCCCCTAGGTCCGGTGCACCTCACCCAGGGCGCTCATGATGGTCTGGCCACAGGCGGCCTTAGGCCCCATCCACACCTGCCTCTCACCTGAGGGGCCCCTGACCCCTTCGCCCCATCACCCAGACTCTCCAGAGCTCAGGGACTCTATCATGTCACACGGGACCCTCTCTGGGACAAACCCTGATGGAGAGGTGGGTCAGACACTGCCTCCCCAGCCTGGGGGTCCCAGCACAAGCCTTGACCCCTGCAGCAGGCAGATTCTCAGGACCCCAGCCCACCCCAAGGGGCCTGCCTGCTTCAGCCCTGGACCCTTGGCCTTCTTCCTGCCCAGGGCAGGTGTCTAGGAGGCAGGGCCCCAGAAGGAAGGGCACGACAGGGGCTGGAATGCTTTGGGGCTTGGCATCAGGGGTGAGGGGCACAGTCTCAGCTGCACCCACTATCTTGCCCCATGGGGACAGCACCTGAGTGGCTGGGGGCAGAGGGCAGATGAGGCTGTGCTCAGCAGGGCTCGGGATGGTCAGCTGAGGGAGCGGGTTTTCCTGTTCTGTGACTGCCATCTGACAGGCCTGCTTCGCAGAGTGGGCACCCGTCGAGGGGCACCTGCAGGGGTGGGTGGCCTGGGCTGGGGCCCACTTCCTCAGCCACCCTGAGGCTGATGTGGGCTCCTTCCTGCAATGGCCCTTCTCGTGGACAGCCTCTGTTGGCCACCCCCTGCCAGCCCTTCCAGGCCCGCTGTGGCTGCCTGTGTCCCTCAGAGCCCTTCGGGCTCTCACACCTGTGTCAGCAGCTCTGAGCACCTAGTACTGGCTGAGCAGCGGCCACCCAGTGGAGTCCTGGGGTGGCGGCGGTGGCAGGCTCAGTGACACAGCAGGGCCGCAAAGCTAGCCACCCCTCCCCACAGCCTGGGCAGGGGCCCCCGGTGCTCACCACTGCCCATGGCAGCTCCTGCTTGGCGCTCAGCTCCTTATCTCGGATCCCAGACATGGGCCTGGTGATCAGGCGGAAGTGCTCCCCGACAGAGAACACAGTGTGCGGCTGTGACCGAGGTCACTTCTGCATCATAAGGGAGGAGGGCAATTGTGTTGAATGCCAGCCGCACACAGACTGCAGACCTGGCCAGAGGGTACGGGAGAGAGGTGAGCTGGAAGGCCCTGGGCACCCTGACCCCCGGGCCCCTTGGAGAGACTGACCCCATACTCATGCCTGTGGGGAGAAGCCCACTGCCCTCCCGGCCTGGGCCCCTCAGCCTGGCCCTCTTATTTTGCAGGGACCGAGTGGCAGGACAGGGTGTGCGAAGACTGCCTTCCTGGGACCTTCTCCCCCAACGGGACTCTAGAGGAGTGCCTGCCTTGGACCCGGTAGGCGGTCCCAGGTGCTCTCAGCACTGAAGCCCCTGCAGGGGTCCCCCAGAAGCCCCCAGGAGATAGGGCCCTCCCCCAGCAGAAGGACCACAGCCCCACCCTGGCCACTCCGTCATGTGTCTGTGTCCAGGAGGCCCTGCGGGAGCCCTGCGGCTCCCACACACCTCACAGGAGCCGAGAGCCATGTGTCAGCAGAGGCTAGTTTCCTGGAGGCCAGAGGCCAGCCTTCTTGGTGCGGCCCCAGTGGGTGCTGGCACCAGAGCCCCTGTCCTGCCTCTGTGGTCTGGGCAGCCCCCAGTGTCAGGGCCGAGGGGGCTTCCCAGGAGTCTGGGAATGTTCAGTGGAGGGGATGTTCAGGAGAGTCTCAAGGTGAGGCTCCTGCCTCTCCTACACAGGACCCCCAAAGACCCATCCCAGGCCCAGAGCTGATGGGGCTCTGGAGTCTCTGGGGAGCCCGGGGTGACCAAGCGAGACTCTGCAGGGGACGCAGGTGCCTGTGTCCCATCCTGCCCCCATCCCCTGGGTCTGTCCCTGACACAGCTCTCCTCCTGGCACGGCTCTCCCTGTCCCCTCCTTGCTGTCCCTCCCTCTTCTCTGGCAGCAGCAGTGGGGTTTGGAGAGAGACAGACAGTGCCGACCTTCACCTCTGAGCCTGGCTGTGCCATGGGGACCCTCCTAGGTGGATCTGCGTGACATTGGGCCAGTGTGTTCTGCTCCATGTCCCTGCCACTCCTGTCTCCTAGGTGCAAAGGCCTGTTTGAGACAGAAGCAAACCCTGGGACCAACAACACAGACGTCACATGCTACTCCTGGGGCCAAGCTTTTTTGGGCCTGACTTTTGTCCTGGTTGTGCTTGGTGGTGGTGTAACCCTCATCTGTGTATGGCTGAGACGGAGAAAGCGTGGTGAGGGAAGGTGCCTGGGCCCACCAGGGCTCAGGTCCCCAGCAGGTACATCTCAGGCCCTCCCAGGCTCTGTCCCTCCATCCAGCATCTCCAGGACTCCCTGGACCCTTCTCAGGGGTGGCCGCTGCTGGTTGGGGAGCAGGCTTCCTGTTGATCGGGAGCCCTGTTATCTAAGAGCCTTGGGGGTTGGGAGCTAAGGGACTGAGCTCCTTTGTAGGGAGCCACCTGCCTCCCTGGGCCCACTGCTCACCTCAGGCTGCGAACAGCTTGGAGGGTCAGTATCTGCCCCGCTGTGGTAAGGCTGTGTTCCCCCTGACACTCTGTGTCATTCATTCCTGTGTTGGTTCATTCATTCACTCCTTTGACCACCCCTGTTTTGCTCCCCATCGGGGCCTGGTGCAGCTGGACCCCAGCACCTGCTCCAGCTGTTCCAGCTCAGCCTCTGGGGGGCCCACGCATGCCCATGGGGCAGCAGGCACTCCTAAATCCTCACTTTGGGACCCCAGGCTGCAAGGAGGTGTCAGGGTCCCAGGCCCTGCGTCTCTTCTCACCCAACTCTGGGCACCTGCTCTTGAGGGGTGCGGGACCTCCTCTGTGCTCACCCGCTCACCCAGATGATGGTCGGATTGGGGTGGAATGAGTCTGGCAGCTATGGAGGTGGGCATGGGTTCCCCCATGTCTGTCTCATCATGTTCTGGGCCCCCAGGGAAGAAGCCTGGCAGTGGCCCTGACCACATCGGTCTCCTCAAGACGGTGGGGACGCCCTGGCTGCGTGGCCCGTCTCTGATAGTCTGTCTCTCTTTGCAGGACTGCTCGCCAAGAGGACAGTCTCTCCCCAGGTACTGTTGCTCATCCTCCACTCTCCCTGGAGGGGCTGCTGCTGGGCAGGGACTCCCAGTCCCCTGGGGGCTCTGAGTCCTGGTCTTCAGCCTTGCTGTGTTGGCATGGAGGCCACAAAGTGCTCCCCTTAGAAGCCTGGGCTGACCCTGAGCATCACAAGGCCCGTGGGCTGCGGCTTGCTGGCAGGGGCTTCAGGCTGAACATACCCCGCAGGAGGCAGGAGCACGTGCTGCAGCCGGCCAGGCCCTGCCGGCTGTGCCTGATGTCACCACCGTGGCTGTGGAGGAGACAGCGTCTGTGCTCACCAAAATGGACCAACCGATCAGATGGCTCAAGGAGGCAGACCACGGCGGACCCACTCCTGGGCGCGAGTCAGACTCCTCCCAGTACCCAGAGGTCACTGCTCTCATGAGGGGCCCTAGCCCTCCCCTCACTCCCGAGCTGCCCACGTGCAGACCCAGCCATGGAAGGACACAGTGACAAGCCACTCCTGGCTGTACACCCTACCCGGTCCCCAGCCCTCCACCCCCAACTTGCTCATTTGTGGGGTGGCTTGGGGACACCTGCCTCCTGGGTGGGGACCACATGGGATGGGCCAGGAACGCAGCAGGACATGAGTATCACACAGGGAAGGACCCCTGTATTGGAGTGTGTTCTGTTCTGTGTCTCCATTTGTTAGGAAAAATATCTTTTTAAAAATGATTTGAGAATGTGCATCTTGTGGTTCCTAAAGATGGGACTAAGAGGTCAGGTCCCATCTGGGACCTGGGACACACTAGTACGTGGCCTTTGTGCCTGCAGCCTGGCTCCAGGGTGAGAGCAGAGCCGGGCAGCAGGTCTGCAGGAGATTCTTGTCTGCCTCCCGCGTGCACTGGGCTGGCACCCTGAGCCAGGAGGGCCCTCGGAGGTGGGTGCTCCTGCCTATGCAATGGACATGCTGACGCCCACCCACTTGCTGTAGAGCCTGGGATGCCCGGAGCTCGGTGCAGGGGGGCTAGCTGAGGCCAGGGCTGCTCTCTCCCGCTCATCCCCCAGTTGGCGCCCCCAGGCTTCAGTCACCTTTATAAATTAAGCCCTGAGCACCAATTAGCCGACTTTCGCATTGTTCCTGGCCTCCCAGGGTCCTCCCTGCCCCACATACCTGGGGTCCAGCTCCTATGCCTGCTGGCTGCCTTCAGCTCCAGCATGCAGACCACCAGTGGGCGATGCCAAGGACACAGGAGGAGCCCTGGACTCATTCTCTTTCTGGGGGTGTCCCTGGCTACAGGTGTTCCAGGATGCCAGTGAGGCAGCCCCTCCTCACAGAATCCACCCTGGGCCTGGGGGCTGCCCCTGAGCTCTGGAGTGGTGGCATCTCCCCCCCTCACTCCCTCCCTGGGGGGCAGGGGTTCTGGCCCTGTCAAGTCTTCCAGACTCACCTTCTCGCCATCAATGCCGGGAAACGAGCTCTTTGTGACCCGGCTACTTGATTTCTGCTCTGGTGCCGGGACCTTCAGCCACCCTCCAGGGTGGGCAGCAGGTAAGCTGCAGCAGCCGCACTGTTGGGCCTTCCATTTGCCATCTCTGCTGGGGGTCCCCTGGAATACGGTGAGGGGTCAGGAGGGGTCCTCCCCAAACCCAAGGCAGAGGGCTGTCCCTTCCTTCTCCGGGTCCAGGCCCCCAGGGCTGTGGGTGGGGCGGCCCAGTGCAGGGGCACCCAGACCCTCCACGCAGGCAGGGCCTACCCAGGGGCACCCACCGTCTGGGTGGTCTTGGCCCTACCTCTGGGCTGCGGGCCCTCATCAGTAGAACTGGGTGACACTGAAACGTGTCACAGGCTGTCTTGAGAAATAAGACAAATCCACAGAGCACCTGGTAAGCTGCTCTTACCTCTTCCGGGTCCCTTCTTCCCAGAGCTGGGGGTTAAAAGTGGATATTTAAACCTCACCCCCGCTGTTTTGAGAGAAATCTTCTGCATCCGTGGATGTTT